GTATATGTCATTGATTGTAATGATTGTTCAAGCTGTTATGTTGGAGAAACTTCACATTTCTCTCAAAAAGAATGCGCCAACACGAACTTAATAGTTTGAACAGAAAACAAAATAAAACCATGATCACCGAGCATGTCTCCAAATTTAAACATTCTTTTAATTTCACCAATCCAAGAGTTATTCATCGTGAATCTAACATTTTACGCAGAAGTTCGCTGAGAGTATTTTCATACAAATATTACCTTCTATTAACAACGATTTGATTCGGCTTCTCTTTGCAATATTTACCGCGATGCTTCAAATAATTTTCAATATGCGCAATACATCCTAACATTTCTTTTATGTATTCTACATATTCTTTTGTGTATGCAATATGTGTATGTGTATGTGTATACATATATTACATTTATTGTTTTGCTTTATATACATATATATGTTATGTTATAATTTTTATGTAACTTTTATCGTTCCTTAACTATTATCGTTTTTCTGTTATATCTATACTTTTTCTTAATAATTTTCTCCTCATTCACATATTTTTGGGATTTGATTATGGATGTCTTGCACATGTATAAATTTTTTACTATGTTCCTACTGCGCATGATTTGAGAAAATCTTCGTAATATGGAACCACCAAAATTCTCTCTATCCCGTTCTCTCACCAATGACGATACAGTTTCCAGTATTTTCCGCAAACACGTTCGCACACATTTTACTCTCGTACACACTCGTAATACAACTTCCAAACTAACAACATGTTCGTTTGGAATAAGCTTTTTTATAATAAAATATATCATTCATTTAATTTACAATTTTTTAAAAAATTTTCATAACTCGACGTTTCATCAATTTTTTATTTCACTTTATTTATTTTCGTGCAATTTTGTGTTTTTGTGTTTTTTTCAAAGTTTATTTGTATGGTGAGTTTCTTTACATTGTTTATTTTATGTTGTTTTTCATATATACTTTTCATATACATTGTTTTACTTATTTTTGTCTGTTAATTATGTATTTTTTTATATTGTTTTAAGTTGTAACCCTGATTATTTAATTGTAGCACTGAAGATGGGTCAAATCCAGACCCGAAACGTATGTTCTCTATAAATAAAAACATTTTCATTAAAACTGTTTTTTAATTACTGGATGGATGCCCAAGAAACAATTTATTATATTATATATATATATATATATATATATATATATATATATAAATAATAGTCTTTCAGCTAAAATAAGTAAAAAAAAATTTGACTTTTAATTCAAAAACATATATATATTCCAATGCCACTATTGGAAAGTTTGATACAAGGTGTGTATTTATTATTGTTTTTTAATTTTATTTATTATTTATATTATATTTGCTTTATTTGCTGAATCCTTTCAAAAATCTATATTTTATATTTTAGCTGAAAGATAACATATACTGAGTGTCGAAACTAGTAATGTTAATAAATCAATCATAACTTAGCCAATAAAATGCTACACACACAAACACACACACACACACATAATATATATATATATATATATATATATATTTGATAGCTGCTTATTTTTATGAATTTTTCTATTACGAAAGTGTTTTTTTTTTAATTAACCCAAGTGTATCAAATTAGATACACTTAGTTGTTAGAATTTGTTTGAATCGAATTTGCAAAATGTGTTATGAATTTGTCATTAGCATTTTTAGTTAAAAATATAAATAAGTAATTTCTTCAAATAGCAATTTTTTTATAAATGAAGTACTTATAACTTGGACATTTAATAATAATAAATAAATTACTGATGATATCACATATTACTCTTTAATAATTTTAACTAACTTTTAATTATTATGATCATGAAAATCAGTTTTCTACTAAGAATGATTAAATATATATTTTTTCTTTTAATCAGTATATATATTCTTGATAAAGAGTTAATGTGAAATTATTATATTATTAAATTGTTGTTCTGAATATATTTTCACTGTGTATTCTTTCTTTGTAATCAGAAAACTTGCATTTTTTGTATTCATACCAAAATCATATGGATTTTTTTTTTTTTGTGTAATTTATAAAATCATAAATTATATGTAAATAACAACATACTTTACATTTCTAAATTGTAACGTTTCAAAGATTTCTGAACATTTTGGCATACGTTAGAAAAAATTGATGTGTGTGTGTGTGCGGATACAATTTTTCGTCGACGATTTCGGTAACACAGATCAACCGATTCGAATGATTCAAAAAACATTCGATTTGTATTGATAAGGAGACGTGCTGATTAGTTTTTGGCGAAGGCAGGTCTGGCGTTTTCGGAGATCTAGTAAAAAAGTGAAAGAAAATGCCATTTGCCGGTCAAAAATGATCATTAGACATATACACATACAATTATGAGATATTTTATGTAGTTTTTAATGTGTATAAATTTTTCTTATCATTTCTATGGGTTTCTTAACATCTTATGTCCGTTAGACGGCGATGCGGCGCCTACGCGCTTCGATAATTCGTCCTTAGGCAGCTATATAGCAGTGCGATTTCTTTAAAAAAAAAGTTCAAAATATTTCAGCATAAAGACTTTTTTTCAAGTCTTTTTATCCAAAAAAGTTAAGTTTAAAATTTTTCAAAAATCTAATTTTTTCATTCTAAAAAAATTGTAATCTTTTTTAAAAAAATTAATTTTTGGTACGGGAAGTTCCAGCAATTTGCCTTAAGGCATGATGCCATATACCACTAGTTTACAAAAATTTTGTACCAAAGTGTATAGAACAGTTTTTATGGGAATATAGTAAAAATTATCTAGTTTCTGATAAGCTAAATAAAAAAAAGTCTCCAGAATAAAATTTTCAAAATTCTTAGTACATTGCAGAAAATTGTCCTAATTAACTTGAGAAACTTATATTTTTGTTAAAAATTTTATACCAGAATGTATTAAATATATAATTTATATGTAAATGATGCATGTGCTAGATTTTTTCCCTTTTGTACAAATAAATAAAAGTCCTACAAATAAATATTACATGTAAAGGTTTAAATACAATCCACATATTAGGTTGTCGAACATCTTATTTCCGCCTTTTTGTATTATAAACCAAGAGCAAAAAAGCGGAAGGGAGATATTTGACAACCTAATATTTTAATTCTATCTAATACCATTTGGCACCAGACCTTACTTTATTTTAAAAATTACTTCAAAACAAACAATTTTAACAAAGCAACAATAAATTTTCTCCATCCTTTACCAGTTTTCTTTTATTTCAGGCTAAAATGGACGAACTGCAGCTATTCAGAGGCGATACAGTATTATTAAAAGGCAAACGCAGGAAGGAGACAGTTTGCATCGTTCTCTCTGATGATACTTGCCCCGATGAAAAAATCCGTATGAACAGAGTTGTACGTAACAACTTGCGTGTCCGCTTGTCTGATGTTGTTTCTGTGCAGCCTTGTCCAGACGTGAAGTATGGAAAGCGAATTCATGTGCTGCCCATTGATGATTCTGTTGAAGGCCTAACAGGGTAAGGGATAATAGAAATATAATATTTATATATATATATATATATATATATATATATACTAGCTAACCCGGCAAACGTTGTTTTGCCATAAAAAATATGCCTAAATTGATAAAAAAATTAATAAAAGTGCCAAAAATCAACTATTTAATAGATTTGGACTCTGATTCTTTGACAAATAGTTAGAAACTTGTTATAATTTTCAAAATTATTTCACATTTCATACTTCAAAAATTAATTCACTCGCATCATAGTTTTTTGTTTATTATACTTGTGTCATGTCATATATGTCAATAAAATTTTCTTTCAAATATTATTTATTTGTTAATAAATTATTAATTATTTTAAGTCATCAATGAATAATTATATAATTGTTAAATTCATAAGTTTGGCTAAATCACCACAGGAATATTGTGGAAATAAATATTTTTTTACATAAAGATCTGATTTTTGACATTTGCATTTTATTTCAAATTAATTATAATTGTCAAAATATTTTTTTTTCGGTCAAAATTTAATGATATGATATAATATTTAGTTTGTCTTGTTTGTTTTTGTCAGATTCCAATGATAGCCTCAGATTGTACTATTCCATTTAAGAGGTTACAATTTCCTGTAAGATTAGCATTTGCGATGACAATCAAAATATATCTTAACTGATATATTAATATTAATATTATATTTTAATTACACAAATTTTACACTCTGATAAACAATTCCAACGCATCATAGTGTTTTGTTTATTTTAATTTTATGTCAATAAATTAAATTTTAGTCTAAATCAACGCAGTATCTTCATCTAAATATACAATTTTTTATATAAAAATCAGATTATTTACTTTTGCATTTAATTGAAAAATAGTGAATGTCAATTTCATATATCCAATATGCACTAAATTTATAAATGTCAAAATATTTCCTTCTTGGTTCAAAATTAATATAATATGATAATATTTATTTTACAATAATGTTTGGTATCTATAATTTGCTTGGCAATATTGCCTATAACATAACTTGGAATAATTAATTTGCTTCTTATTGAAGAAAGTCATTAAACATTTTTTTTGTAAAATGTCAAAATTTTGTTTATGATTAATTTTAAATTCAATATGCAGCTTTTTTATTGTGATCTCTGATCTATAATGTTTTGATGAAGTTTTGGTTTCCAAAATAATTTGGTAGGCTAATCAATTAAATCTATTTATATAATTATTTTCATAAATATTGACAAATGACATTTATTTTTTTTACATGTCAACATTTATTTAAATTTTTAAGCATTGATTTTTAATTAGATTTAAAACTATAAACAGTGATTTTGAATATAGCATTAGATCAAATTTGGATTTAAATGTTGGATATTTCTATATATGTACATGTTTTTGAATTTTATTTTTTGAAATGTCAAATTTTTTTTTCAAAAATTATATATCGAAATTTCCTTAAATTTTGACATTTGTCATTTTAGTGTTTTGTTTTTTTTAGGTCATTTTCTGTCAAAATTTTTAGAAATTTATAATAATTATATATTTAAATTTTAAATTTACTTTTCAAAATTTCCTATAACCTAAGTTGGATATATATGCACACGATGAGCCAAAAAAATTCAAAATCGGCTCAGTAGTTTGGGCGTCCATTGCGAACCAACATCGTGGCACGAGATATATATATATATATATATATATATATATATATATATAATTAAATTTTGTTCCTCAGAAATCTGTTCGAGGTCTACCTCAAGCCCTACTTCTTAGAAGCCTATCGGCCAATTCACAAGGACGACACATTTATTGTCCGTGGCGGTATGAGAGCAATAGAATTCAAAGTAGTCGAAACAGATCCTGCTTCTTATTGTATCGTGGCTCCTGACACAGTCATTCATTGCGAAGGGGATCCAATCAAGCGTGAGGAAGAGGAAGAAGCTCTCAATGCTGTCGGTTATGATGATATTGGTAAGTTAATAGATAATGTTATTCAAGGATGTTGAAGATTTACTTATTAATACAAATGTTTTTTTTATTTTTTATTAGGTGGTTGCAGAAAACAATTGGCACAAATTAAAGAAATGGTAGAGCTGCCTTTGAGACATCCGTCTTTGTTCAAAGCTATCGGTGTGAAACCACCTCGTGGAATTCTCATGTACGGACCTCCTGGTACTGGTAAAACTCTTATTGCCAGAGCAGTCGCTAATGAAACAGGAGCTTTTTTCTTCTTGATAAACGGTAAGATATAATTATGTATATAATTCATATAAAAATATATAATTATTGATTATTTAAACAAAAACTTTAGAACATTGAATATTTTTATCCAAGTTTGTTGGTACTTTTTGTTTAAATCAATTTCTTTAAAATATACTGAGTTGATGCAAGAATTAATGTTGTTAGATAATATTATAGAATATTTAATATTCAACATATTTGCCACATACATCTTTTTTGTGAAATAAATATAATCTTTAATTTTAAAATAGTTACAAAAGTGAAAGATGCATAGATAAAATAAATAAATGTACAATGCACAATTGGTCAATGCATAATTTCTATGTATTATTGTATTTTAAAGTATCTGAGTTGATGTAGTGTTTCATAATTAATTATTGAGGATAAAGTTGATTATTTTTGTGCAAATTTGCAAAATATTTTACTTATTTTAGATAAACCGTTCAAAAGTTACAAGAGATATGAGAGATATGAAATGCACTTTTAACGCGTTTGAATTTGATTTCTCATTTTAAAAACGATTTTAGAGTATACCGAGTCGAGATAGGATTTTATAATCTAGGATACGGTTGATTATTTACTTTTTTACAAATTAGCAAAATATTTCGCTTTCGTTACAAGTGATATAATTGAAAGCATTTTTAACGCGTTTGGATTAGATTTCTTATTTTAAAATCGAGTCGATCTAGGGCTTTATAATGTTTGAGAATACAATTGATTATTTATTTTTGTACAAATTAGCAAAATATTTGACTTATTTTAGTTGAACCATTTAAAAGTTACAAGAGTTACAATTATTAAATGCACTTTTAACGCGTTTGGATTTGATTTCTCATTTTAAAAACGATTTTCGAGTATGCTCTGTCGAATTAGGGTTTTATAATGTTTGAGAATAAAATTGATTATTTATTTTTGTACAAATTTGCAAAATATTTGACTCATTTTAGTTAAACCATTTAAAAGTTCTAATTTAAGAGTTCTAATGTACTTTCAATGAGTTTGTATTAGATATTTTAGCTTAAACACGATTTTAGAGTACACCGAGTTGCTTTAGGTACTTATAATGTTAAACAATGTTGTAGCTAATTTATTTTTACACAAATGAGCAAAATATTTCACTTATTTTAGATGAACTATTTAAAAGTTACAAGAGATATAAAAACTAAATGCACTTTTAACGCGTTTGAATTTGATTTCTTAGTTAAAAACGATTTTAGAGTAAACCGAGTTGCTGTAGGTACTTATAATATTAAACAATATTGTAGCTAATTTATTTTTGTACAAATTTGCAAAATATTTGACTCATTTTAGTTAAACCGTTTTAGAGTTACAAGAGTGATGGATAAATGCACTTTCAACGCATTTTGGATTAGATTTCTCATTTTAAAAACGATTTTAGAGCATTCCGAATTGATACAGGGTTTTATAATGCTTTAGAATACGGTTCATTATTTATTTATGTACAAATTTGCAAAATATTTGACTCATTTTAGTTAAACCATTTAAAAGTTACAAGAGATATGATGATTAAATGCATTTTTAACGCGTTTGAATTGGATTTCTTAGTTCAAAAACGATTTTAGAGTAAACTGAGTTGCTGTAGGTACTTATGTTAAACAATATTGTAGCTAATTTATTTTTGTACAAATTTGCAAAATATTTCATTCATTTTAGGTGAACCGTTTAATAGTTATTAGAGATATGATGATTAAATGCACTTTCAATGCATTTTGGATTAGATTTCTATTTTAAAAACGCTTTTTGATTATGCCAAGTTCATATAGGTCAATATAAAAAAATGACAATATTATAAATAATTAAATTTTGTACAAAATTTTCCAAACAAATCATTTGTTTTAATCGATTTTATTAAAAGCTACAAGACTATTATAAACAAGTGCATAAAACCTATTTGATTGCATAAAAATTAGAGTGGGAGCTAATATGGGTTGATATTAAAATATCAATTGATTTATCAAAAAATGATGAGTTAATGTTAAAACTATCTGTGGTCGACACACGAATCCGATTTATATGCAAATTGCAAAAAAACGTTTAGTGGCACAACTTTCTTTTTTTTTTTTTGAAGAACTTTCTTGTTAATTTTACTCTGGGTATATCTTTGTTATTAAACTTTTTGTTATAACCTGAGACTATTTGCTTTTTATATTAACTAGTGGTGCATGCCATTGGGCCTTAAAACAAGTTGCTGGAACTTTCCGTACTGTAATTTAAAGTTTTTAAAAGTTCTGAATTGAAAAATTAAATTTTTTTTAAAGAATGTTGATTTTTTTAAACCTTGTTGAAAATTTTGAAAGCCTTAGAGGAATTTTAATATTGAAAAAATTGAAAATTTATTTTTTGAGAATGATTTTTTAAAAACTTAATTTTATTGTATTTTTTTTTACAAACTTAAATTTTTTGAAAATTCTTGATACCCATTCATTTCGCTTAATCCAGACTGACGAAATATATAATAAATATCTGAATTTCTATCGTCAAATGGCATTTTCATTCATTTTTATTTTTCTGAATTTCCGAAACCGCTGGAACTGCTTTCGCAAAAACTTAATCATTTCTTCATTACGTCAATTCATAGTACAATTTATTTTGAATCGTTGAAATCGGATGCTCCGTTCTCTCACAATTTTAATTTTCATTTTCTGCTCTGACAAAAAATTGTATACACACATCCGTTTTTTTTTAAAACATATCAAAATCTTGAGAAACTTATAAGACAAAGATATACAAAAAATTTCATTTTCGATTTTTGGACGATTACTAAAACTAAGGTAAACATATTTTTTTATAGTCAACCGGGACGGCAATTTGTCGTCAATTTAAAATAACAAATGCTATTCAAGGATACAACAAAACAAGTTTTATATGTGAATAATTTTTTAATAATCAAAATTGCGGACTTTTGTTTCTAGGTATTTCAATTAATCGAAATTGAGCAATTCTGTTTTTTTCTCTGCTTTTGAGCCGTGTATAAAGTTCTATTTAATTTTCTTTATAATTAATTTAAAAAAATTAGCATTTGTTGCTTTGTTTGGATTTCAACATATATGACAAGTTGGTCCATTTTATTGTATAAGATCGATCGAAAGGATGCTTATTCTTCAATCTTCTAATATGTGATGGATTCAATATGGGAATAATTGTGGGGTTATTGTGGTTGATGATCGCTTCTGTTTTTTATTACCTCCTAGACAGTATCGATTCTCAGATGCAGTATTTGGTTACTGACATACCAAGGTGATAGTTCTTGTTCATTTTAATTTTAATTTACGAAAAGTCGACAAAAGATCTAAATCCGGGAAAAATATTACATTTACAAAAACTCAAGGTGAAAATCCGGGGCTGTCCCGGCCAAACCGAAACGTATGGTCACCCTACTGATGTTACAAATATTTGTTTATTTTTATTTCACAGGTCCCGAAATTATGAGCAAGTTGGCCGGCGAGTCCGAATCCAATTTGCGAAAAGCCTTCGAGGAGGCCGAGAAGAACTCTCCTGCAATTATATTCATTGATGAATTGGATGCGATTGCACCGAAAAGAGAGAAAACTCACGGAGAGGTCGAGCGCCGTATCGTCTCACAACTTTTGACACTCATGGACGGTAATAATAATAATAAACAAGACATATTAAAGCATTCCAAGTTCTAAGTTATTCTAGTTCTATATTTCTATTTCCTTAGGTATGAAGAAGAGCTCCCATGTGATTGTGATGGCTGCAACAAACAGGCCCAACTCCATCGATGCTGCTCTCAGGCGTTTTGGCAGATTCGATCGCGAAATCGATATTGGAATTCCTGATGCAACTGGACGTTTGGAAGTTTTGCGAATTCATACAAAGAACATGAAGCTCGCCGAAGATGTTGACCTGGAACAGGTAAATGATGAAAAAAAAAATTATCATGATATACCTATCCCCCGTTTTACACGGTACTCGTTTTACATGTTTTCGGTCTTACGCGGTTCTTGGAAATAATCTTTTTCAAACAAATTTATTTATTTTATAATTTACACGAAATTATAAACACTAAACTATAATTTGCTTATATCTACAATAATATTTTAATTGTTTTAATGTCAAAATACAAGAGTACAGAATGTACCTTACAGTTACGAATTTTTAGTAGTCTAAGTCTATGATGGAAATATGTAGATGAGATGGCAACTCAATGTTTTATGATCCAAACTAAATTTTATGTGTGTATATGCTTGTTTGTTGAAATGAAATATCAAAACCAAATGCATCATTGTTTTTAAACTTTGTTTTTAATTAGTTTATATATCGTTGATGGCGTAAATTTATTAGAAACAAATAACAAAATCTTTGATTGAAAAAATATATAGTTTGACAATAGCAAAAGATAAAAATAAACAAACTAAAGGTGTATGGCATCGTGCCTTAAGGCAAATTGCTGGAACTTCCCGTGCTGTAATGTAATATTAGACAATGTCTTTCATTTTAAATTAGATTAAGTTTATTTTATTTACTTTTCTGTAAACATATAAGTTACAATATTTATAATAATCTATTTGAAAACATTTAATATTCCTTGAATATTTGTAATGAAATATTCAAGGAATATTAAATGTTTTCAAATAGATTATTATAAATATTGTAACTTATATGTTTACATGAAAGTACATAAACAAAACTTAATCGAATTTAAAATGAAGGACATTGTCTAATATTTGTAAGAATTATATAAACTGAATTGCAAAGTTAAAATTATTTTTTGAAGTATATTTGTGAGCTTTAGAACATTATCCAGAATTTAAATTATTTTAAATTATTATCTGAATTATTTTCGATATTTAAAAAAAATATTTTTGGGAAATTAAAAAAAAAGAAAAATCTTTTCCCAAAAGCAATTGTTTCGTCAACACAAGCAGAAAGTTTTTTGAATCGGATGCTTAGTTCGTCAAAAACTGCAATTTTCTACACATTTAGCTCTGTATCTCCGAAATGGCTGGACCTGCCTTTGCGAAAAACTAATAACCCCTTCTCCCAATCGTTACGAATTGATTGTTTTTTAGATCATTCAAATCCGATACTCCGTTCTCTCAAAAACTCGATTTCTATTTTCTGCACTATTTGCTCCGTATCTCGGAAACGGCTGGACCTGCCTTTGTTAAAAACTGAACAGCACATCTCCCTGTCAATAGGAATCGAATGTTTTTTGAACCATTCAAATCGGTTGAGTAGTACTCCCAAAAACGACTGAAACTGTACTTGTAATATCCACAGATACAAACATACGCACGCACACACACACATTCATATTTTTTGAGGTATGGCAAAATGTTCAGAAATCTCTGAAACGTGAAGAAATGCAAAAAAGAATATATTTCGATTTTTGACCCATTACTATAACTTGCCCTAGGGAATGTTAACTAGAGGGAAAAAGAAAGGTTTTGTACAAACCAAATTTAATTCTTATCTATAAAGAAAATGCAATATTGAAAATAGTTTTTTTGTATTTTATTATTGAAATAAATTATTTTTTGTATAATTTATTAAATATGCTTGGTATTAAATATATTAATATTCATTTTTCGTCCAATGTATTTGTTACTCATCATATTAAAAACTAACAAAAAAGGTATTTTTCACAGTAATTTTTTTTAGCGCGGTTTTTTCATATAAAAGTGAATTTTTCAAGTTACACGTTTTTTTCTGGAACGTATCTTCAGTGTAAAACGAGGCACAGGTGTATTATGTTCTATGTGTGTGCATATTGTATATGTAATGTATTTTTTTTTTCTACAGATTGCTGCCGAATCTCACGGTCACGTAGGCGCCGATCTCGCTTCGCTCTGCTCTGAAGCAGCCTTGCAACAAATTCGAGAAAAAATGGATTTGATCGATTTGGAAGACGAACAAATCGACGCGGAAGTTTTGAACTCTTTAGCCGTGTCGATGGAGAACTTCAGAGTAAGGAGAACGATAATAATAAATAATCATTTTTTATAATACAACAACCTTCTTAACTGTTTACTTATTATTTTAGTACGCCATGACAAAATCTTCTCCGTCCGCCCTTCGCGAAACCGTTGTGGAAGTACCGAACGTTACCTGGAACGATATCGGAGGTCTGCAAAATGTTAAACGTGAATTGCAGGAATTGGTGCAGTATCCTGTTGAACATCCTGATAAATTCCTTAAATTCGGCATGCAGCCCTCAAGGGGAGTACTGTTTTATGGACCACCCGGATGCGGTAAATTGAAAAATTTATATATATATATATATATATATATATATTTATTCGTCTACATTAATGTGGTCCCCTTCAAAGTAGTCCCCCCCAGATATAATACACTTATGCCAGCGTTTTTTCCAATTTTCGAAGCACCCTTGATATTCACTTTTTGATATGTCCTTGAGCACTCTCAGCGATTTTCTTCAATCGAGGAAAACCGCCGTCCTTTCATGGGTCTCTTCAACTTTGGGAATAGGAAAAAGTCACACGGAGCCATATCTGGTGAATTTTTGCACTTTGCAACACTTTATTTCATTTTTTACGCAAAATTTAATACAAATTCTTTGACTTTTCAATTCTTCCATTGTAAAAATCGCCGAGCTCAGAAAAACACGTCGAACCTTAGCGACTACCACAGACAAAGTAAACAGTGAATATAGCTGAAAATTTCATCATACTTTAGGGGCATGTATACCAACACAATAAAAAAAAATTTTGACAATCAGACACTCCAGACCCGCGAAATTTAATTATTAGTAATTCCGGGTACTTTTTGAACAGACCTCGTATATATATATATACTAATTAATTGTTTGTTTTTTTTTTCAGGTAAAACTTTGTTGGCGAAAGCTATTGCCAACGAGTGCCAAGCTAACTTTATTTCTGTAAAGGGTCCAGAATTGCTCACTATGTGGTTTGGAGAGTCTGAAGCGAACGTTCGAGATATTTTTGACAAGGTACAGATAAAAAATAGTTTTTTTTTATTAATAAACTGATCATTGTTTTAAAATTATTAATAAATACTATATGAAGTTACTAAGCATCGATTTTGATCCAATTAACAATTTTTATATACTTTTGTATTAATTAGGTTGTTTGGTAGTTAATTAACTTCCAGAAGAAAGAGTAGTTTATGTTTTCATCAAAAAATTCGATTCGCTAATTTGATTTTCTTCATATTTCAAGCCATTCCGAATCCCATGAGACTATTTGGAAAAAGTATGTGTGTGTGTGTATGTGAACAGATTTTTCACCGTAAATCGGCGTTTTCTCAGAAACGACTGGACCGATTTCAAAAATTTAAAAGCCATTCGATATATCTCGATGAGGACTAGTGTTTATCAATTTTGCGCGACGATCAGCCAAGCCGTTACATTGTAAATAGCAGAAAAATGTAAAAAAATCGATTCTGAATCGATTTTAAAAATTCAAAAATCGCTCTAAAGATACTGGTTGAGAATCGTGCTGATTAGTTTTTGGTAAAGGTCGGCCGGGCCGTTTTCTTGTAATAAAGTGTTGAAAATTTTTATTTCAATTTTCATGTTTTTTTTGCGGTTGATATCATGGTCTGCTATATGATACTAAAATATTTCGGCCCTACAACTCGTTTAAACTTTGAAAATTCGCCAAAGTTTGAAAACATTGGTCGCTGTTTTTTGACGTTCGTCAAAATTAGACCTTTTATCGCCGTTTTCTCAAAAACGGTTGAGTCAATTTAAAAAATTTAAAAACCATTTAATGAAACTTGATAACCACTTTCCTTGCGCCGGATAGATTTTCAATACGATCGGCTGAGCCGTTTTTTTTTTGTAATTTTCCGTCCATACTTCAGCTAAAAATTCTGAATCGATGAAAAATTCGAAAACTATTCGAAAGATGTTATTTAGAAGTCGTGCTGTTTAGTTTTGGACAAAAATTGGCCGAGCCGTTTCTTATATTTTTAAAAATTTATAAATATTTTATGACTTCATTATAGACGTAGTAAATAATTATTAACGTCGTATATTGATTTTCATTTCTACTTTAGAAATCACTGTTTTAAAACTGGAAAAGCTGATTATAAATTATTTTAATAATACTTGCAACTACAATTATATCCTTTATCTAATCTTTCAGTTTAAACACTGTGAACATATATGATGTGTTACGCTCACAGATCTTTGCATTCCGCATATTTTTCAATAATTTCGCGCTTTAATTAAAAAAAAACATGTCACCAAAATAATGCATTATCAAAATTTCAAATGTTAAGTCATTAATCGATATATTGTAAGGGATAAGTCGTTACAGTTAATATTAATATTAATATAACACTGAAATGTGACTAACTTACAACATGATTTACTCTCATGAAACAGTCAAAATATTTTTATGGTAGGAAAATCATGGTAACAACCCACAAAATTTTCCATAATTTAATTATGCTATTAACATTTTTGAGAGAAACCTTGACTCGCTTAAAGGTCGTCTCGGATTTTAATTTTACTCGTATGTCGAAACAACGAATCGCTCCTTGTAGGTCAATCTCGTATCCCGAAACAGTCGTATGTCAGGTCACTCTTAAATCGGGGTACCACTCCATACTTTTCTTTATCGATTTTTGTTAATTTTTTCAGGCACGTTCGGCTTCCCCTTGTGTCCTGTTCTTCGATGAACTCGATTCAATTGCAAAAAGTCGTGGCGGCAACGTCGGAGACGCCGGCGGAGCCGCCGATCGTGTCATCAATCAGATCCTGACCGAAATGGACGGCATGGGGGCCAAGAAAAATGTTTTCATCATCGGCGCCACGAACAGACCAGGTAGGATAGTAAACATCATATCAAACATTCAAACATAGATGTATTAGGTTGTCAAATATCTCCCTTCTGCTTTTTTGCTCTTGGTTTATAATACAAAAAGGCGGAAGGGAGATATTTGACAACCTAATATTAGATGTATTAGATATACAATTCACAATTTTACAATTAAATAACAAAACTAGCTGTAAGTGGAATTCTGTCTTGAGGCAATTATGGCATCGTGCCTTAAGGCGAATTGCTGGAACTTCCAGTACCGTAACGAAATGTTCGAGGAATACTGAATGTTTTCAAATAGATTATTATAAATATTGTAACTGTCTAATATTTATAATAATTATATAAACTGAATTGCAGAGTTGAAATTATTTGTTCAAAGTATATTAGTACTATAGTCAGAATTAAAAATAAAATCTGAAATATTTTCAATATACAAAAAACTAAAAAAAAAAAAGTTGGGACAATTTTTTTTTCCAAAATCAATTATTTTGTTAAGACAAGCAGAAAGTTCTTTGAATTATTTAAAACGGACGCTCAGTTCTCTCAAAAACTGCCATTTTTTACATATTTAGCTCCGTATCTTCAAAATGGCTGGGCCTGCCTTTGCCAAAAACTAATAAACACGTCTCCCAATCGGATACTCCGTTCTCTCAAAAATTCGATTTCTATTTTCTGCACTCTTTGCTCCGTATCTCCTAAACGGCTGGACCTGCCTTTGCCAAAAACTAATCAGCTCTTTTCCCCCTATCAATAGGAATCGAATGTTTTTGAACCATTCAAATCGGTTGATCCGCGCCCTAAAACGTGACTGGAAATTTGTATTCATACATACATGCCAAAATGTTCAGAAACCTTCAAAACGTCGAGAAATGTAAAGATTTTCAATTCCGATTTTCGGCCCATTACAATAACTTACCCTACGGGAAAATAACAACCAAATATAAAATACAAATAAAGGAATGCTAAAATAATTTAATTTTGACTTGATTTTATGAAACTTGATATTGCGTCTTCGTTTAGAGCATTTTCAAAGGCTGAGGTCCTGTATATCCATTAATTCGCAGAAATTATTAAAAAGTTCAGAAGCTTTTCTGAAAAAAAGAGCAGTATCAGAGACTAAGAAAAATATTTCACTGCTAAGTAATACTCAGTTATAGCCAAAAATTGTTGTATTTGTAAGATATCACATATAATTAGTAATAATGGATATTTATAATATAGAGGGGATGGTTCCACTGTATTTCTTGAAGTCAAAATTAATATATTCAAAAATATCATAAAAACTGTTGGCTTTTAGTAATTTAATCAAAACGTTGTGGAATTTATGATTGCTTAGTTGACGTATTTGTAAAGGTGATAAATTGAACAGTTGAATACCAAAACTATCAATTGAATTAAAAGTAGTATTGAGCTTAAAAGTCGATCTTTTGATAGTTCTATTCCTTGTGACATAGTGGGAATTAGACATGAAAGATAAATTAAAGTACTGGGTATTCTTTTTTATAAAGAAAAGTGTAATAAGTAGGAATATGTTAGGAACTGTAAGAATGTTATACAACTTGTCATCGAGTTAAGAGAGAACATGATTCTTAGCGCTCTTTTCTGAACTTTGAAAACATGTTTTAAGGATGCTGAAAAACCCCAAAATTGAATGCCGTAGACCAAATGCGAGTAGAAGTTGGAGTAATAGATAGAAAGAAGACAATTTAAACTAATTTTAGATTGAAGGACTCTTAACATGAAACAAGTTCTGGAAATCAAGTCAAGTACTTACTACATCATCTTTTATCCTTTCAGATATCATCGACCCTGCGATTTTGCGACCGGGTCGTCTCGATCAGTTGATTTACATTCCATTGCCGGACGAGCAATCTCGTGCGGCTATTTTCAAGGCAAATCTACGCAAGAGTCCGGTGGCCGCCGATGTAGATTTAAATTATATAGCTAAAGTAACTCAAGGTATCATCATAATTGTTACATTCATAATTGTTAAAGAGAGATAATGTTGTTTTAATATTGTTAATTTTTTTTTTTAGGATTTTCTGGTGCTGATTTGACCGAAGTTTGTCAACGGGCTTGCAAACTCGCCATTCGTCAGGCGATTGAATCCGAAATCAGACGCGAAAGGGAGCGAGCAGCCAATACTAATGTAGCCATGGACGTAAGTTGAATTTTTTTTATTTATAATAATTTCATTGGTAATTATTATTAATTTTTAATTTAGTGTCAATAATTGCAATTAATATTTGGCAGTTTCTAATTATTTTTGGCAATTACAGTTAATTTTAAATAAATACGTTATATATTTGGTATTTTTCTAAAAAAAAAATGGCAATTTTGGTGGAAATGTTCTTGGATAATTTTTACCAATCATACAGTTAGTTAATTTTAGGCAAATGTTGTTATTTTTTGGTAATTTCAGTAATTTTGGCTAGTTTTTGTCAATTTTGGGAATTTCGAAACATTTTTGGTAATTTTGAATAATTTTTGATACATTTGGCAAATTTTTGACAGTTTTAGAAATTGTGGATAGTTTTTAGCAATTTTTGAAATTATGAAACATTTTTGACAATTTGGAAATTTGGAAATTTGAAAATTTTGCTCCATACATATTTGGAAATTTGAAAATTTTGGATCGTTTTGGTTTGATTTTGGATAATTTTTGGCTATTTCAGTAATTCTGGTTAATTTTGGATAATTTTCAGCTATTTCAGTAATTCTGATTAATTTTGGATAGATTTTGTCAACTTTGGGAATTTCGAAACATTTTTGGTAATTCTGGATCATTTTTAGTAATTTTGGCAATTCTAGAAATTTTGGATAATTTTTAGCAATGTTTGGAAATTTGAAAATTTTTCATCATGCAAATTTTGTTTCATTTTTGCTAATTTTGGTTAATTTTTGGCAATTTTAGAAATTCTGGATAACTTTGGATAGTTTTTGGCAATTTTGGGAATTTCGAAACATTTTTGGTAATTTTGGATCATTTTTAGTAATTTTGGCAATTTTTTGCAATTTTAAAAGTTCTGGATAACTTTTAGCAATTTTTGAAATTTTGTAACATATTTAGCAATTTTGGATCAATTTGGAAATTTTGGATTCATATTTAGCAATTTTAGTAATTCTGGATAATTTTTGGCGATTCTGGGAATTTGCAAACATTTTTGGCAATGTTGGATCATACTTGAAAATTTGAAAATTTTGGATAATTTTTGGCAATTTTAGTTGGATAATTTTTGGCAAGTTTGGCAATTTTGAATCATTTTTGGAAATTTTGGCAATTTTAGAAATTTTGAAACATTTTTGGGAATTTTGAATCACTTTGGAAATTTGAAAGTATCATTTTTAGTAATTTTGGTTAATTTTTGGCAATTTTAATAATTCGTGACAGTTTTGGATAATTTTTGCTGGGAATTCCGAAACATTTTTGGCAATTTTGGATCATTTTTGATAATTTAGGATAATTTCTAGCAATTTTAGGAATTTTGGATCATATTTGACAATTTTAGTTGTTTTGGATAATTTTTTCAATTTAGAAATTTGAAATTGTTGGATGATATTTCAAAATTTGAAAACTTTGGAACATTTTTGGTAATTTTGGATAATTTTTAGCAATTTTAGTAATTTTGAATCATTTTTGGTAATTTTGGCAAGTTTTTGACAATTTTAGAATTTCTTTATAATTTATAGCAAGTTTGGAAGTTTTGAAATATTTTTGGGAATTTTGGATCATATTTGGATATTTTTGTTCATTTTTGGCAATTTAGCTAATTCTGGACAATTTTGGATAATTTTTGTCAATTTTGGGAATTTTGGAACATTTTTGGCAATTTTGGATCATTTTTGATAATTTCTAGCAAATTTAGGAATTTTGGATTATTTTTGGCAGTTCTGTTTCTAGTTAATTTTTTTTTAATTGTAGTTATTTTTAATGAAAAATCTTCAAATATTATAGGCTGAAAAAACAATTCAGGACATACACAGTGTAAATAATTTATAACATTTAAACTATTAGCCGTTATATTCGTCAAAATTATACAAAATATAAAATGCTATTTACACATAATACAATATTTTTTTCTCAGATGGATGAAGAAGATCCAGTTCCTGAAATTACGAAAGCCCATTTCGAAGAGGCAATGAAATTCGCCAGGAGATCAGTATCAGACAATGATATTCGTAAATATGAAATGTTTGCACAGACACTACAGCAGTCTCGGGGCTTCGGCACCAACTTCAGGTAAAAATCATACGCCCTTAAACTTTAAGTTGAACTTTTAATATATATATATATATATATATATATATTATATAATTATCTATTTCATCATTAGATTTCCTAATACGAGTTCAACACCCGGCCAAGGTGGCTCAGGATCAGGCAGCGAGCCTCACCCCGGCCAAGGAGAGATCGGTGACGACGACTTATATAGTTAAGTTTTAAGATACATAAGCAAGTTTACATTTGCGTGAACGTGTCCTAGTTATTATGATGATTAGCAGCAACTGACTTATTGATATGAATAAGGATTTTAAAAGCGATTGTGAATGTATTGAATGCTACTACTACTACTACATTTATAAAATAATACATTGAAAAGTTTGATACTTTGTCTGATAAGTTGTCTGTATAAAACTTATTGTAACTTTATGAATTTAAAAATATACATTTGGAAAAAAACGTAACAGGATTTTTTTATTTTAAATTTAGATCTAGAGTAGTAAGAAAGTAAATAATGATATTCTATTTGTCTAGTAGAAATAGACGGCTTTGGTTAAGAGATTTACATCAGGTTCAATAGTGGCAAAGTGAGGCTGCTTGGGATGGCATCAACACATTTGTGAAAGAAGTTATAACTAGCTGTAAGTGGAATTCTGTCTTAAGGCAATTAGGGCATCGTGCCTTAAGGCAAATTGCTGGAACTTCCCGTACCAAAAATTATTATTTTTTTAAAAACGATTAACATTTTTGAAAAAATTTTACTTCGCAAAAATAAGATTTTTGAGAAACTATAAATTGGACAAAAAATTAGTTTTTTTTGAAAAAAATTTTTTTTTAAAAACAGATTTTTTTTTTTGAAAAAAAAATTTTTTTTCTTTATTTTGACATATTGTGGAAGATCTGAACTTTTTTTCAAAGCAATCGTACTGCTTTAACTGCATAAGGACAAAATATAAAGCGCGTAAGCGCCGCGTCGCTGTCTAACGCATAAGCATTGGTACGGAACCCATAGGAATGTTAACAAAATGCATACTTATTGTTAAAATCTCTATAAAATATCTGATAATTTGATGTGCATATGTCTAATGATCATTTTTGACCGCCAAATGGCTCATTTTTTTTACTTTTTCCTCCATATCTCCGAAACCGCTAGACCTACCTTCATGAAAATTTGATCAATTCTTCATCTTGTCAATACAAGTAAAATGTTTTTTGAATTATTAAAATCGGACGCTTTGTTCTCTTAAAAACTAAGTTACCGTTTTCGGCACTTTTTGCCCCGTATCTTCGGAACGGCTAGACCTGCCTTCGCCAAAAACTAATCAGCACGTCTCCTTATCAATACGAATCGAATGTTTTTTTTAATTATTCAAATCGGTTGATCGGTGTTCCCGAAATCGTCGACGAAAATTTGTATCCGCACATACATACACACACGCCATACATACACACACATACATCCATTTTTTCTAAGGTCTAACCTCTAAAACGTAAAGATATATAAACATTTTCATTTTCGATTTTTTTGCGATTACTATAACTTGCCCTACGGAAGTTAATAATTAATTATCAGGAAAATAGTTAAGAAATTCTAATTACAAATATCGCGCCTTTTCAAATAAACCATATCCATGTTGTTATATTGTCTAGGACCATATCGCCATACTGGTTTGGACAAAAGCGCGAAATTTAAACAGATTTTGATAAACTTGATAAAGTGCGTTTTTATTACATAAAATATAAGATATATAAACTAAAACTTATATAAAAATTGTTATCCTGTTATTCATTCTTGACAAAATAATTTATAAGTAAAATCTGTTTTTAAATGTTGAATTTTCGACTTAAGGGCAGCCATGTTTGACAGTTAAAAAGTTGATATTTTATTATAAAGTGATTTGTGGCGAAATATCGAAAAGTGTTTGATTTTAAGTATAATTTGATTGTTATCCTTTGAATAATACTGCTTATTAATTGTATATTTAATATATTATTGTATTTTTATATCTTTTAGAGCCCCCACCACAACGTCTCTTTGGTGACGGCCGATCTGTCACTTGACAATGACAACATAATAAAAAGACATTAGAATTCTAATTTATACAAAAAAATATGTAAAATACTCCTTCGCTTTGCATCGAACAAAGGCGGAGATGTTACCGATAAATAACTTCAACAATACGACGCATATTATAATAAATATCGACGACTCATATAATTCCTAGAAATTAGATATTCTTACAACATCAATCGAACGAAAGTGCCTTCATTCATTATGTATCGCAACCTTATCACTTAGATATAAGCCAGTTATTTATTTTATACATTGTCATATATTTTATTTATGTTAAATGTGTGATTTATGATGGAAGAGAAACGCGTAGCAGACTATTTTGTTGTGGCGGGGCTACCTGATAATCCGGAGCTACTAGATGATAGTATTTTTAGTGAATCGGGACATTTTAAAAGCAGTATTAGCTCAGCACCTATCACAGATATTGCTGTGGTGTTCCCTACACTGGGAGAGACTGTGCCGGAGGATTATATACACTTGGAATACACGCCTTCTGGATTGCCTGCGGATTTAAATCATGGATCTGTACGGTCTCCTGAGGTTTATCTCTGCTATCGGAGGGGAAGAGATAAACCACCTCTTGTCGACATTG